CCCCATATATGTTATACATATTCTCTATGTATGAAATAGACCATCAAAAGTTCCTTCTTTTTTAAAATCATGGTCTTTGTTGTCTGCCTTTGCACTTATTGTTCCTTCTCTGTTTTGCATATTTTTTTCTCACTCTTGTCCACCTGGTAAACCCTTAGTCATTCCATCCAAAAGTCAATGAGAAAGTCAGAATACCACAGTGGTTACAAGAACAAGCTTCAGAAGCAAAACAGTCCCGACTGTTACCACCTTTATGATCTTAGCCAAGTTTCTTAGCCTTTTTGAGCCCCAGTTTACAATTCTCCATTGCAAAATGAAGATAGTACCTCCTCATCTGTTTGTTGTGAGGCCTACGTAAGACTGTAAAGCACCTAGCATGGTACCAGCACTATTTAAACCCTCCAAAAATTAGTTGTTATTACGATGCCTGCTCTGTGAGATCTTCCCTAGCTAACCCACTCCCCCAGAGAGGATTAGTAGTCCTTTTTGTCATCCCATTACACTGTACATAGCTCTAAAGAACTTATACTCATTTATAATTATTCATTTAGTTTGTCTCTCCCATGAGTCTATAGGTATCTCAGGAAGACACCATGATTTATTCACCTTTTTATCCCCAATGCCTGTAAGATAAATGATAAATACTGAAGGAGCAAATGAACAAATGGATGAAAAAACATCAAAGACTGACTCTTCAATATAGTGCAGCTCACATCCAGCTCTTGTGAGAACAATAACTTCATAGAAGACAAGGACTCTAAGCCAGGCAGGCAAACCTTCTTTCTGCATCCCGTATTTGTTTCTCTATCTGCAAAACTGAAGAACTTCATATTCTTACAAATTCCACACAGGCTACTCTAAAGACAAAAAGAACCCACATTACCCACCAGTCTATTTTCTTATCTATTTTCCTGAAGTCTCCTCATGTGCTATATGCATGTTCACATATTCTCAGAAATATATAATTCTTGGGCCCCTGGGTGGCTCAGTCAGTTAAGCATCTGCCTTCAGCTCAGGTTCTGATCTCCGGGTCCTGGGATAGAGCCCCAAGTCAGGCTCCGTGCTCAGTGGGTAGTCTGCTTCTCCCTCTCCCTTTGTCCCCCCAACTCGTGTGTGTGTGTGTGTGTTTTCTCTCTAATAAATAAAATCTTAAAAAAAAAAAAAAAGTTGTCCTTATCCAATAAGAAATTAGATTCTCCAAAGGCAAAAACTATTTGTCTGCTTCATGGTGCTTTGCTGTCTAATACAGAGCTGTGCAAACCAAGAAAATGGATGGGCTTTCTGAGCGGGCAGAAGCTAAATAACCCTGAACTGGCCCTTCCAAGGTTTATCTTCACTCTCTCAAGTATTCCAGAGAAGCACTAAAGATGCAGCTTGTAAGATTCCCAGAGCTAGGGGCACCTGGGTGGCTCAGTCGTTAAGCGTCTGCCTTCGGCTCAGGTCATGATCCCAGGGTCCTGGGATCAAGCCCCGCATTGGGCTCCCTGCTCCGCGGGAAGCCTGCTTCTCCCTCTCCCACTCTCCCTGCTTGTGTTCCCTCTCTCACTGTCTCTCTCTGTCAAATAAATAAATAAAATCTTTAAAAAACAACACCACCAAAAAAAATTCCCAGAGCTAGCCAAAGAATATAACACAGTTCTGTGCTAATAAAGCACAGAGAGTGACCAAGAATTACTGAATTAGTAAATAACTTACTGGCTCAAGAAATTTACCCAGAGGGTGGAGGTAAGTGAAAGTCAAACTAGAAAGAGTTGGTGCCCTGACAGGTCACGACTGGAAAATCCTCCCAAACCCAATAATCAGGTAACCAGTGTACCTCAGCTCTGCCATGACACCTCCTCCCTCTATGGAGATTCTGAGTCTATCCCAAGATGATATGCAAGGTGAGCCACTAAGATAAGTCCAAAGATGTCCTTTCTACCAGCCTGGAGATGAAAAATGAAACAATGCTTCTCTCTCTCACTCATCTTTTAACCACTCATAGCACCCAAAGTGACAACTGAGGGTGACAGTTCACAGAGTAGGACAAAGATAAAAAGTTAGCCTGTGTGATTATATAAGGAGAACTGCAGTGATTAAGTCTCATAAGGCATGTCTTGTCTATCAGGGGTCATCATCCACCCATGATGGATAGAATCCAATCCACAGACATATTTGTTCTATCCGGAAAAGGTTTTTAAAGACTTTAACTAGTTGCCAAGAGTTTAAAACACAATGATCTGAATTTCAAGTTTCTCCTGAAAAATAGGAAGACTGGTCATACTGTGCCCACATGCCAGTACACAACAGTCCCTACTACATCCTAATACATTCATACCTGGCTTACTTCCCTCATTTACATTACCTGCCTGATACTCAGGCATTTAAGCTTGTAATCCTTGGTTTATGTGACAGCAACAAATCGTTACTTCCATGATCACTCTCACTATGACTGGGGCTCCAAATCAACAGACTGCTCTATTATGTTTTCATTTAATTAAACAACTGCTGTTGAACATACTGAATATAGAAAAAGAACAATAAAAGCTAAACAGCTGCTAATTATATTTACACAAGCCTTTTCAGCCTGATGGTAAAACAAACCTCCCCTTCTCCCTTCAACTCAACTTCACCATTATTACCCCAACAGCAGAATCATTCTAATCAGTCACACTGAACCACAGGGACAGACTGTGATCAATCAACAGAAGTGGCAAACAAAGACAAGGATGATCCTTCCAGAGAGTACTGTATAAATACAGTGTGTCTCCTTAAAAGCAGGAACTGCATCTTTTGCCTCTCCAGCTGCCCACACTAGCCAGTCTAAGTACCCTATCAATGAAGTTATTATCTAAAAGTGGCAGTCATCATGCATTCTGGAACGTGAAAGTAGTGGAACTCTGAGAACTATGAGTTCAACTGGGATTGGTGCCCGGCTACTCATGAGGAGAGGTGTCTACAACCTGAGCTCCCACGGAGCCAATAAGCATCACTGTCAAGATTAGAAGACACTGTCTACAGCCACCTCTGAAATATAACTCAAATTCAAGTCTTGAAGGAAGAACAAATTTTCTTTTCTTTCTTTTTAATTGAAGTATGGTTGACATACAAAAGAACAAATTTTCTGATCTGGGGTGAGGGTTGGGGGTGAAAAACTATTGCTACCTAGAAAATGACTTTTTGGTAAAGAAAGGGGAAATCTTTGAGGCCTGAGTCACCTCCAGGCCCAACTGAAAAGATGCTGGATTGGTCACACTATCTACTCAAAGACTAGACTGCCTATTATGCAAAAGCCTATCAACTCAACAGGGCACAACAGGGCACATCAACCCAGGTGAGCAAGGCAGGTTCATCAAACCTGGATACTTCCTGGGCTATGTCATTTCATAAGCCACTTTCTATTTTTTTGTAGAAATTCTGCAACTTAGATCAGCAAGCTAAAATACAAACTTGTTTCCTGGACCATTTCCCTCCCACTTATTTAAAATTGATAAATACAAACAATGCTATCCCCCACCAACATACACACACACACACACACACACACACACACACAAAATTTCAGGAGGGCAGAGGGCATTAGGTAAGAAGAAACTGAGTTTAGTCACTGTCACTCCTATACATTTTTTTCCTTCTAACACAATGAGGTTTTGATCCTCCTTGTTAGTACCTCACCTTGCAAAGTCCTGACTGCCAAGGCCAGAACTAGGCCACAAGTCAGGATCACATACTACATACAACTAATCCTAGGTACAGATAACACTTTTTGAGTGTCCATTACTTTCTGAAAGGCATTAGGTTGATACTGCTTATAGCTCATGCTCTAGGTAGGCCATTGTACATATATGCCACTGCTTTTAAGAAGTGGGTAAATTAAACAGAGCAATCCCAAAACAGACCTTTCTATTTGTATCCTCCACAGGGCCCAGAGAAGTGCCTTATGTACCTGAATTAAAGGCATAAAAATTTCTATGTTGTGCATCAAAAAACACTATTTACACTATTCCTCATTTCTGAAGGCACTCTGAAGACTTTTACAGTTTTACAATACAGCAGTTTATCAAAGATTACCACAGTGCCATAAACTACTCCTTGGAGTTATGCTCCATCATTCACTCTGCTGCCCTGACCCTACCACTTTTAAATTAGCTGAACATCTTTCATGAGCCTTTTTACCCATTAAAAATAATAGGCCAACTACCAAACTTCACCAATACTCAAATCCCTCTCTGTTCTCGACCAAATATGTCATAATAGAGTGGCTCCCTTGTGATTAAACATCTCTTTAGGCCAAATGACGAGACCACCTTGGGGGGAAATGCCAACCAAAATACACACCAGAAGAGAATATCTGTAAAAGATTGTGTAAAGGAAGAAACAGTCTCAGAAGATAAGTCCAGTGTTTACATACAGACCCAGACTGGCAGTTGAGCTGCCCCAGAAGTGGAAAGTCTTCTCTTAGCCCAGATCTTCATAAGACTGGCCTCAATCCTTCCACACCTCTTCTCACTACCTGAGTCTAGGTTGCACTAGTTCATCATCCAGTATTAATGAAGCAGTTCAGCTGTATTAAGGAGGCAGTCACACAGAAGTGGACGCTGTACAGGATCTGCAGAGATTCTAATTTCTAAGGTCTAAAAATCAACCCTAAAAAGTAGATACAATGTTCTTTAGGTGTGCTTTCAGCTTTTGAGGACTGGGCTCTTTGGGATACCGAAAGCTCTAGAAGAGGGGAGCTGAAGGCTAGGTGAAGCCTGGGAACACAAGAAGAAAGATTCCAGCACCCGAAAGGGATCAGAAGTCAGAGCTGAAGTCGCCCCTCTGGCCGCAAGGGCCTGACCTTTGCCCCCTGCATGCCTCCCACTTCTCTCCCACAACAATCTCTTCCTGTTTTATTATTGCCCCTGCGTTCTTAACCCACCCGGCTCGTCCAACTTAAGGGCCCACCTCCCCTCATTCCCTATGGCGATGTCAGGGCGGCCTTCACGACACTGGAACTCTTAAGAAGAGACTTCGCTGACCTGTCAGCGGATCCAAAATGGCGGGGCCTAGTCCCAGGACCCGCAGCCGCTGTTCATGTCCAGCCCGGGCCCCGAAGACGTCTTTAACCGACTCTCCCGGCTCTGGTGGCAGATGGGAGAAGGGAAGGAGCCCGTTTCCTGGAAGTTGAGGCCGAAGTCAGGGACCGCACAGTCGGCCAGAAAGACTCGGCCGGAACGGGCGGTGGAGCCGGCTACCTTCCCTGTCAGCTCACTGACGTGGTAACTAGCCTCAGTCTAGCCCGCTGCCTGGTAACTGCGCGAGCCCTGGCGCGCACAGCCAATCATAGGCTTGTATCGTGAGAAATGGCATTCCAGCTACCCAATAGAAAAAGGAAATTGGCTTCGGGGGGGCAAGTACAGCCTAAGTAGGCGAGATTAAAAGGGAAAGAAAAGAGTAGGTAGGGGGAACAACCAACGAATACGGGTACTCTCTGAATGACAGCCATAAAAGCCAATAAAAATGGAGAAATTGTACTGGGCGGTCAGGGAGGCGGAGTTAGGTAGAGTTCGGTTGCAGTGCGCGGTTTAGCAGTGGCTGCTGGGCATTATGGGGAGGAAAGCTACGATTTGCTGGAAAGGGGGCGGGGTCCGTTTTGAGAACCTGAGCGGGCGACCCTACTCTCCTGCGCACCCCCGGCCACCACCTATCAAAGTCATCTAGGCCAGTATCTTGCCCCTTGAGGGATCACTTCCTTTCGAGGCAGCTCTGGGTTCTTTCCGTCCTAGGACCAGTCCTTCAATCTAGTCCATCCTCCCCTCCCCCACCCTCCCGTCTGCCTGCCGTTTGGCTTCTCATACACCTGTCTGTCCCATCCCAACTGTTTCTGTGTCTTGTGCCCGTTCCTATCATCCAGAAACAGAGAAAATGAGAGGAGGCAGGAATCTTGGATATCTAATTCAGGTCTCAATTTGCAGAGCAGGAAACCGAGTCCCAGTGTGGAAAGATGGCCCCCACGTTCACATAGCTAGTTAATGGCAGAGCAGGCAGAGCAGAGAGACAAACCCAGGTGTCCTCACCCTCAGTCCAGCTCTCCTTTTCACTGCCTCTCACTACCTCTTATGCCTTAGTCTATCAGGCTGTGATTCCCAACTCTTCTCCTCATACTAAGCCTTGGGTGCTCCTTACCTACCTGGAAAAAAGCTAATCAGGGGGTTAGTCAGCATCACCAGTGACAGGAAACTGAAGCTTTTCCTGTTTGCCTTGGAAATGCTAAAAGGTTTAAGAGCTAGATGCCCACCCCAATCTTCACTCTTCTACCCCCAGCTGCCTCTCCCCTTGCTAGAGATGATACAGGTTTCCAGTATAGTTAGAATTACCTAGAAGTGAGAAAAGTGGGGGAAGAAGACAGGGGGGTTTCCTCCTTGCTGATTGAATGGTGGAATTCTCAGCCTATCTGCTGGGATAGAACCCAGGGTTACAGGCAGACCTGAAGAGACTGCTGAGGGAGTGGAAAAAGATACCAACTTTCTCCTCATTTCTTCCACTTATGGATGATCCAAATCCAGAGAAACCCCTAACCTGTAGGAATGTGGGAATGCTCTAGATTCCTCTAATTTGAAGAATCCACAAGACTAAACATCAGACCTGAAGAACTCCTCAACAGCTCCCTGCACCTGCATATTGGGCTCCTGAACTCTGGGTCCAGATTGAGGATCTTTCAACCAAAGAGAGTCAGAGGAAGAAGATAAAACCACCTTAGCACATCTTTCCACAGTACATCTGAACCATTTCCACTTTCATTTGAAAACTGGGATTTGGTCTTCTGGGCGTGTCTCAGATTGAGAGGTCTGGATAGCCAACTGGAAAATCCTAAGCAGACCAAAACTCCCTGTCTTCCTCATCTCCACTCTCATATACCTCCAAAAATGAATCAACCTAAAAGCTGAATGGTTGGGGCGCCTGGCTGGCTCTATCAATGGAGCATGTAACTCTAGATCTCAGGGTTATGAGTTCGAGCCCCACGTTAAACATAGAGATTACTTAAAAATAAAATCTTTTGGGACACCTGGGTGGCTCGGACGTTAAGCATCTGCCTTTGGCTCAGGTCATGATCCCAGGGTCCTGGGATTGAGTCCCACATGGGGCTCCTTGCTCAGCAGGGAGCCTGCTTCTCCCTCTCCCACTCCCCCTGCTTGTGTTCTCTCTCTCTCTCTCTCTCAATCTCGGACAAATAAATAAATAAAAATAAAAATCTTTAAAAATAAATAAAATCTTGTAAAAAATAAAAAAAATTAAAAAGCATGAATTGGATTATGTTAGAAATGAGGAGGAGAAAGATGAACATGCCCATCATCTTACCAGGCAGAACATCTGCCTCAGATTTCAGTATTGAGTCCTACATTATGCCTAGGAATAGAAATATGAGGAAGACATGGTACTTGCCCTCCTCAATCTTAGCATCATAGAGGACATCACATAAGCTGATCTCTTCAGTATAGTGGGTGGGATAATAGAGGGTATGTGTAAGAGCATTGTGGGAGGAAGAAGCTAGACATCTGGCTATCTTGGAAGTTCAGGAAAAGTTTCTCAGAGAGAATGAAACCTGATTGGAGCTGAGGAAAATGAGTAGGAGTTGGCAAGATGAAGACTGGAAGTATGTTACTGTCAGAAGAAAGGCCAGAGATGTGCAGGAAACCACTCAGAGATTGGATATTAAGACAGGGTTAGGTCCAGGCAGCTCTTCCTGCCCATGAGTCCTGTCCCTGTGCTTTAACTAAAAAAAAAAAAAAAAAAAAAAGACAGGGTCAGGTGCTGAAAGTCTTGTATGCCAGGCTAGGGGGGTTAGCCTTTATCTTGACAATTAGGAGCCATTGCAGGGTTTTAAGCAGAGACATGACTGGTCGGATTTCCTTTAGGATCACTTAGGGCCCTCAGGGGCACCCAAGCTACCCAGCCTGACTCCACATGTTCCTTGGGACATCTGTCCTGTTCCTTGCAACTCCCTAGCTAGCAAGCACCAAGGCCACACCTCTCCCACAGGACTGAACCTGGTATCACCAGGGAGATGATAGCCCTCTTAAGGCTGGGAGAGCATAGCCTGGGCAAGCCAAAGGTGCAGACTAACAGGCGAACCACCCAGGCCTGAGTGCCCAGCCTAAGTACTGACAGAAAGAGCTTCCTTTAATTCTGAGGGGTAGGCAGGAGTAGGACGGGTGATAGTTAAGTTACTTGTCCAAGGTCACTCGGTGATGGTGGCTGGATTAGAATGTTGGTAGCAGGGTTAGAATGACTCTTTGGTTTGCCTCATTCCAAACTCTGCTTTGTCCACGAAGCTGCCTTAATTGGAAGAGAGGAAAGGTGGGGGGAGAGGGCGGGAGATAGCCGAGAAGAGGAAGAAAGATGTGAAGAAAAAGAGCAGAGAGAAAGGTAAATTAGTCTTTCAAAGTGGAAGAGGAGGGAGGAGAGGGACAAACAGCAGGAGCAAGCGGCGGAGGAGAAAGAAGAGGAAAGAAAGGCAAGATGTGGGAGGACTGGAGCAGAGACAAAGGCGCGGAGAGACAGACAGCGACAAGTGGAGAAAATCTGCGAAACGTGAGCGGCAACCAAGCGCTGAAACCCGGTGGCCTCTCCCGGCCCGTGCGCCCTCCCACCTGGCGCTCGGGCTGCCCTATTCCCCCAGCACCACTGCACATCGTTCAGGGTGGCGGCCTGGCCCCACTTCTCCGGGGCCACCGGGGCCACTATACTCTAGCCCGCTTGGCTCTGCCAAAACGGTCTCGCTCGGCGAGGTTTCAGCCACGTGGGGAGGGGCGTGGCCCAATGCTGAAGAGTGCCTCCGATTGGCCAAGGGGCGGGCTTCTTGGCGGTTCGCCGGCCGGACCCCTCCCCCGAAGGCGGGGCCTGAAAATTCACAGCTGGAAAGGGTGGAGCCCGGGCGGCGCAGCTGGAAGGGGGCGGGGCCCGACGCGCGAGGCTCGCCGCGGCGGGCTGGGGGCGCCCTGGGCTGCCATAAAGTGAATGGGCTCCGGCGGGGGGTGGCAGTCCGCCGCGAGGCTCACTCTCTCCCTCTGCGAGTCGGAGAGCGCCGGAGCGGAGCGGCGGCCCGGGCGCAGGGGGGCGGCCCCCACCGCGGCCGGGTGCCCGGCCCCTGGCCCCTGCTTGCCCTCCAGACTGCCGCCGCCGCCGCCGCTGCCGGGAGTCTGCCTGCTGCGGGACTCACTGTGAGTGCTTGACTATGCGGGGACAGGGGCTCATGGGGCCGAGGGGCCACGACCGAACTTCGGGATCCCTAAAACAGGACCTGGGTGGCTGAACTGGGTAATGGTGCCTGGGGAACGGGTCTAGACTGGGAGGGCGTACCGCAGACCCGGGGCCAGCACTTAGGAAAAGGAAAACTCAGCGTCGGGACTCGGGGGACAGAGAAGAGGGAGACTCAAGGGATCCAGAAGGAAGCCGGAGACATGAAGCCAGGACAGGAGCTCCGCGAAGCAGGGAGTAGAGTCGGAAAATCATTACCAGAAAGCGCCCTGGAATTCGGGGGCGCGGGGCAGGCAGCCAGGGAGCTAAAGGGGTTGCCGAAGCCCTGGCCAGCGGGGGGAGCTGGCGGCGGCCGCACAGCGTGAGGGCAGTTGGCGGCTCCGGACGCCCCTCGCCCAGGGCTCAGACTCTAGGGGCTGCGAGCCGGGGTGAGTCTGGTCACACACGCTTCTCTTCCCAGCCGCTTCGCAGTTTGGATAGGAGCCGTGTTGTGGGAGCCTGGCTGCGACCGGGTCAGATGGCCGCTGTGCGGGCCGCCGGGCCAAAGCTGGGCAGCCCGAGTGACTAGGCGGCGGGGCTGGCAAGTCGGGCTTGGGGTGTCAGGGCCCGGATGGGTCTCGGCCTGGAGCCGCATGGAGTTGGACGGAATGTCCGCAGCGCGCGGGGCTCAGAGCGGACAGAATGTCCGGGGAGGCTAGGTGGGTCTCTCCGGAGCAGGCGCTGTGTCCGGCAGGGGCGGACAGAATGTCCCTGGCCGAGTGGCATGTCCATGTACCCGGCCGCGCCTTGCCCAGCTGCGTGTTCAGTGGGGTTCGCTCTGGTGGGTCGCCTCAGATCCCGGCTCGCACTTTGCAAACTAGTTTCTGCTCCTAGGGGCTGCAGAGTGAGGGTGAGGGGATGCCAGGAGCAGGCAAATGAGAATAAAGGCCTGGCCTTGGAGTGCAGTGGCGCTGGGGGACATTCACCCTCCAACCCAGACTAGATCTGAGCATCACCCGGCACTTCTAGAATCCAAATTTGAGGAGAGAAAGCCCATGGCAGGACAACTAGTAGAAGACAAGGAAAGGGGAAAATGAACCACAAGGGCAATGGGAGGCTAAGGAGGAGTCCAACACAAGCCTCCCTGACAGCTTCAGTTTCCTCACAAACTCGTAGTCAACCCCTAATTCCAATACAGCTGACCAGATAGCCCTGAATTCCTACCTGGTTGTCAGCGGGCTAAAGGCTCCTTCCCTGCAAGAGGCAGGATCCCAGGCCCAAAGAGAAAACTGCAGCCCTTTAGCAAAGCAAACCCTGTGGTTTTTTTCCCTTTTGGCTCTCTCAACCCCACCAATCCCAACACTACCCTGATGGTTGAGAGGAAGGAGACACATGGAATCCAGACTCTGGGGTCAACATGGGGCCTAGACGGCCCTCCAAGACTGGTTGGGAAGGATGTCTCAGCCCTACCCAACTGTCCCTTTTGTTTTTTCTGTAGCTGGGAAAGGGCCCTGATTCCTTTGGATCCATATAGTGACCACCCACCCTGACCCCATCTCTTTAACCAGAGCCCAGTTAAGCTAAAGGGAACAGAGAAGACAGAACTTTCCCAGTCTGTGTAAGTAAGCAAAACAACTCAGCTGGGGACTGAGTTTTCATGGGATAAGTGCAAGGTGATGTATTTAGCGATCAGTAATCTAAACAAGTGGGTCTCAACCTCTCTCACCGTCCACCCATGAATGACATATAATATGTATTCCCCACACTCTCACCTCCATTCCTCAGTTTTAAAGTTTGCTTATCACTGGCTAGGACATTGTTTCTCAACCTTTTTTGTCCTTGCCCCCTTTTGATAAATATAAAGGTACACCCCAATTACTCCTACCATATTCTGATACACTTTTCAGGGGCTTGTGCTCCCATCACCTTTGAAAATCACTGAAATTATGGGTGAAATGAAAGTCTCTGAGTCAGGAAAGGAATAGCAAAGGCATTGCAGATGGTTCCCTGAAGACCTTAGCCCAAAGTTCTGCATTTGCCAAAAAGGCCAAAAAGTAATGGCTTTATAATAAAGATGAATGGAAACAAAAGACAGAACTTTCTCTCATCCTTGCATAAAGCCATGTAGCTGAGTGCATGCCTGGTCACTGGCTCTTAGGGAGAATGTTATGGACCCAGAGAAGGGTCAGAAAATGATCCATAGAATGGGGAGCCAGGGGCTGCTAGAGAGAGCAAACTTAAAAGCTTAGGCCTCTGGAAGGTGAAACAGGATGGAAATCCACAAATAATGAAAGGCCTAGATAAGCAGATTTGTTTGCTCCCCAAATCCTGAAATGGGAGATGAGGGGGCCTCGTAGAACTGGAGTGATGCAAACTCAAGATGAATAGGAAAATGTTCCTTGGCACACAGTGGGCAGCAAACTTCCAGAGCTTTCCAGAGAGGAGGCAGAGGCAGGAAGTGGAAATGGAATCCTTCAGGGCTTGGGAGGATCAGTGCATGTCAGAACCACAAATGGCTGCTGGAGTAGAGGGGGCAAGGCATGGAAAGAGCTCAGACCCTGGTTTTAGGAGAACTGGATTCAAATTTCTTCAATCTCTGTCACCTTGGACAAATTTATCTTCTTAGAGGTGAAATAAGGATGGATATTCCTGCTACCCGAGGTGGTTGTAAGAGTTCAATGAAATCATGTATTTGAAAGCCCTTTGCAAATGGAGAAACACCACAGAAGTAAGAAACATTATTGCTATTATTATGCCCAAACTGTAGGTTCTCTGTAACCACAGAATCTTTGTTTGGAAGGATGGAGTCTCAAGTCTTAGAGAAGCCTGATAGCTTCTCATAGGAAGATTCTCAGTGACAGATGGAACACCCTATCCCAAGCTTCCAATGTCAGCCATTATCCCTGCTCCTCTCCAAGAAGAGTTCTAGGGAGCTCCCCAAATGCTTAACTCCTTCACCAGGCCACATACCCTGATCTGATCTCTGCCTGCCTCCTGCTCAAGGATGTGAATATGGGCCTGGGACACAGGTCCAGGAGGGGAAAGGGAGGCAGGCTGGAGCTGAGCTGGGGATAGGCATGAGAGAAGGACAGAGCCACCCAGATCTTTTCTTCTCCATTCGCTCCAAATGATGCATCCTAGAGAGTGGGGAGGAAGAAGGCAGCTAATCTGAAAGATCCATTAGGTCCTGAGCTTTGGGATTATCTGGAGTGTCTAGCCCATGGTCATGCACAGGGACCCACGATGAGGGTGATGGGGACAGAAAGGGAAAGAAGATAGGCAGTGGGGGGAATAAGAGCTGCTTTCAAAATTCTCTCTACTCCTTCTCCATTGTCCTCCCCAGGGCCTTCTTTACACTTTTCAGTTAAGTTCCCCCTTTCCCACCTTTCCCCTGCCCAATCCATTCTGCTCACCACAGCCAAGTAAAGGTCCCAGAGCCGCTGCCCTTATGTTTCTCCCCTGCCTACAAGCCTCCAGCGACTCCCACTGCTTGGAGTACTGCTTCTCAAAAGCGGGGGATGGGGAGAGCAGGCAGGTCAGGAGTAGAAGGGGCATGATGCTGCAGCTGAAATGTGCCCCATCTTCCTGGTGTGGTGATGTCACTTGAAGATGTCACTTGGAGACGTGGAGAGAAAACTTTACTTTTATATCAAAATAAATATGCTTAAGTGTGGAATAGAATGCAAAACTTGCTTCAATTTTTAACGTAAGGCTGGAGATCTCAAAGAAATTTCATACTGGTGGCAGCTGTTTGAGGTTGTGCTCCCAGTTTCCCAGAGTGATGTTCTCTCTTACTGGTCTTAGGAGGTTTTGATGGAAAAGCTGGAGATGCTCTAGCTTAGACTCTATCAGACCTGAAGCACCACCCCATGCCCTTCATTGGAGGCTCCTGCAGCCTGACCTGTTTTCCTCTGATGATTTCCCATTGCCCACACTGAGACCCTGGCTGCCTGAGACTGCCTGTTGCCCTCGGAACCTGCCAGCTCATTCCCAGTACTGCTCTATTATTTAGAAGCCTCTGCTCCTTCTCTGCCTCCCTGGTTCCCAGCTCTGCCATGTGCTACATTCTCTGAGCCCCATAACTTGATATCACCTTACGTGGGCTTCCATCTCTCTAACCCCCCACAATGTGAGAATTAGGCCTATTTAACCCATCATTGTCCATCCTATTTACCTTCCCAGACTGTAGACTCCTAGAAATTAGGGTCTGTGCCTTACCGTTCTTGGGGATCTGTCCTAGCACCTAACACTTGCTGAAGGAAAGATGGGAGGAAGGGGAGGGGTGGGTGTGGGGGCCCATTTCTCTGATCCCTAATTTACCCCTTGATAAATTAACTGCATAGAATCATTGCTGCCTCCACTCGAGTCTTAGGGTTTCCTCTTGGGTCTGTGACCTTCATCTATAGCTGTCTTCATTTGCGCCCATTTGCTCACCGCAGCTCGGCAGACCAGACAAGTTGGGTCCTCAGCATCCCTAATGAACTTAAAGGGCTTACTTTCAGATCCAGGTTTCTAGGTGGGTTCCATGCCAGTTAAGGGCCCTGGTTTATACTCTATCACCAACTTGCTACTTGCTGAGCTGAGCCATGGTGCCACGACTCTATCCCTTCCATCTTCCAAGGGTTTTCTCCTATCTCAGGTCTAGGGTACACCTTCTGCCCAGGCATCATTATTGCAACTACTTGGGAGCTCTCTAGCTGAGGCCCTGATTTGCCCCTTTGGCGTCAGGGCATAAGTGGGCACACGTGGCAGTTGCCTTCTTGCCATGAGCTTGGGTCCCTTGGAAACCATGACTTCCCCTCTCTGACCTCTCTGACCTGGGATAACCTGTGCTCTCCACCTTAATATATCTTGAATGTTTTGTTCTTCCTGCAGTCCATGATAGGCTTCCTGTAATGCCAGCTTTTACTAAAGAATCAAAGCACACCTGCAGGTCCTTTCTTCTTCCCAGTGTGGGGATTGTCACCCTGACACCATGGAGCCTGGCCCATACATCCCCAGTACGGTGTGTCAGGAAGGCTGGAGGGGGGACCGGCAGCCCCTCCCAGAGCTGGATTCAGCACCCCACTGTTATCTCCTGACTCTCTCTGCCCCTGCCTGGTATTTCCTACCAGCATCAACCAATCCTGCAGCTTCCAGACCTACTGCTTGTCCCTGTCCACCGAGTGAGGCGAAGCCCCTGGCCTCAGTCCCAACTCCCCAGCTTCCTGACCTCCAACAGTTTGGGGGAGCTTAATCCTCAGCCAGCCTGTCTCCAGCTCAGACAACAGCCTGGCACCCCCAGCCTCTGCCTGGCTAGCCCACCCGGACTCGAGTCCACTGGAGGCCTGTGCTCCCGCCGTCTATCTCTCTGTTGCCTGCCTGGCTGTGGTGTTCTTGCCTTTTCATTTTCGCAGGCAGGGCTCTTCTCGGCCTCAACCCCTCTTTCCACTATTACTACACCGGTCAAGAGCCTGAAGGTTTCCTTCTTCCCTTTACCATGGCTCTCAGCTTCGGTTACTCTGCCCATTTTGCTGTTACCTTATTGGCTGGGCCCTCCTTTATGTTCAGGGCCAAGTATTCACAACACACCTTTGCATCCCACTCTCAAATGCAGCGAACTCACCTTTATTCACCAGAGGAATTCTTCACTGGGTGATACAGGGTCTAGGAAGGTGAACTCAAGCAAAGGCAGAGATAAGGATGAGATCTTACTTACCACTCTATCCTCAGTGCCTTACTCAATGCCCAGCTCATAGATGGTGCCAAATAGACATCTGTTCAATGAATGGGGAGGGGGGCGCGGGAAAGCAACTTGGATAGAGTTTTATCCCCATTCATTTTTACATTATGTTTTATTTTAACCTTATAACAATACTAGAGGTAGGTAGGGAAGGGAGTATGATCTCCCTTTTAGAGATGAAAAAATATGTCCAGAGAGGTAAAGTACTTTGCCAAGAACACACAGCTAGTAAGTTGGGGAGCCAGGACATGAACCCAGATCTTTTGTCTCCAAACCTATTTTCTTCTTGGCTATTCCAGATTACTTTCCTAGGAGGGGCCTGGGCAGTTTCCACCCTTTACCCCCAAGCCATCCTCTTCCCTCAGACTTCTCCCCACCCAGGGAAACAGGGTCTCCCCAGCAGCCACTGAGTATAGACCACTCCCCTGGCCCCTTTGGCCTCCTCCTCCCCCCCAGAGTCCTTAGTTCCTGGGACTGAGAGCTGAGGTTCAGGGGGCCAGGCAGGGGGGGAGAGTAATGGCTAGCTCCAAAACAGCCAAGGCAGCTGTCCCTGTCACAGAGAGAGGAGACTGTGTGACGGTGTGGGTCTGTCTGCCTGAATGTGGGAGCGCATGTGTGGGAGAGTATGTGTTTGTATGCCTCTAGCTCCAAGTCCAAGTGCTTATTTTGTCTGAGTGGGGGCTCGTGTGTGTCTGCATGTGTGTCTGTCTGTCTCTGGGAATACACAGCCTGAACTCTGCTTTCTCGGCCTCATCTCTTACTCTGGCCCTTATCTCTCTCCACCCTGCCTCCCTCTGCTGCAGTTGAGGGTGAAACGGAGATACAGGTACGGAATGCTGGGGGAAGGGGAGTTTGGAATACTGGAAATCTGGAGCCAAGGCAGACTGGAAAGACAAATGGCACTGGTGGGATTTAGTTTTCTCTACAGGTGAACCAAATTGTCCCTTTTTTCCCAGTGGTGTTGTTCCCATGGCCTCTGGAGAAGCCAGGGGCATGGCTTGCATTTTGAGAGCATCTTGGGTATAAAGTACGAGGAGACTTGAGAACACCCCTTTTTCCAGCTCTCAGTTCTAAGCCTTTTGAGCTATTTGGGAAGAACTACTAGTCAAGGCTGCCACAGGTCTCACCCAAGGGCATGTCCCTTCTATCAGAGCATCGCTGGGCCAGCCCCAAGCCTCTAACTCCTGACCAGAGACCTGGAAGGGGAGGTGAGCTGAGCATCCCCACCCCTAGCCTGACTTCTCTCCTTCCCGGTTCCCTTCAGTCCTGCCTCTCCAACCTTAGAAAAAGGTTCAAGTCTAGACCCCACCCCCTGCAAAAAGAACAGGGACTGCTTCTCAACCTCCTGCCTTGACCTCTGTTGCACCCCCAATCTCACTTGAGAGGTTGGGGGGGGCAGCTGTCCTCTCTCAGCTGGTTGACGGGGGCATTACCATGTGCAAATACAGGCCGCTGCCCATCTGCGCCTCCCAGAGAGAGGCTCCTTATAAATTCAGAACAGCCAAGTGACACACATCTCAATCTAGGCTAATCCACCACATTAATGCCACCCTGCACAGCCTGCATTAAGTCCCTGTTAATGGAGAGGCAGATGGACCCCTCCTAGCCAGCTCTTTACCCCTGTTCCTCTGTACCTAGACTCCTTTGGTTCTCCTCTGACCAAGAGGCATCCAGAGTTCTTGAGCCTCACTTAGTGCCCCTTTCTCCTCCTCCCACCAGAGGAAGCTTGGGAGAGCCAGCAGGAAGGGGGACCCTACTGGGGAGACTTGGAGAGGGAGCTGGGTCATCTCCTGGGATAGGGAATAAGGGCGGGAATGTGGCTTTAAGAAGCTCACATCTGCTGTGGCCCGGGGGGGGGGGGGGGGGGGGGGGGGGGGGGGGGGGGGGGGGGGGGCAGTGGAGGCTGGCATGGGTGGAACTGTTAAGGGGGTGAGGTGTGTCTGCACGGGCACAGAAGCGGACAAGGCCAGAAGGCCTAGGGACTTTCAAACTTGTTTTTGATCCTGGAATCCTTTCTTCAAATGCTATCTCCCTAGAAAGCATAAACAAAACAAGCAAAAGCAGGACTGCCCTGGTTGAAGCAGACCCAAGCAAGGCCAAGCTAGACTTCTATCCCTGAGGCTAGCCCCAAATTCCAGTCCCTGAGGGGGTGTCTGGGTAGGGCCCCAAGGAAAACAAATGGAAAAAGCAAATGAAGAAAAAGCATTAGCTTAGGAGTTTCCCAGGCCTGGTTCAGATCCCGGTTTCACGACGTACTAAGCTCTGTGACCTTAGTGGTTACTTCAAGTCTGTTTCCTCACCTGAACGAGGGTGATCATACTTAATATCGATGCATTCTTGTGAGGAGAGAGATAATGAGGTAAAGGCACATTGTAAGTATTCATAAATAATAGCAGTGGTTATCTTCATGCGAGACATACTGGGTCGGCTTCAAAATCAAATCTGTCCCACCGGAGAGTAACAGACTGTGTTCAGGTGTGATTGGCTGAGGGGCTGAGGGGCATGTATGAGTTTGTGTGGATACCGGACATACATGTGAGAAGAAACTGAAGTTTTTGAGGATGTGGTATACAGTATGTGGTGCGCAATAGCGTGGTTTTCCTTAGCTAATTCAATAAATATCTATTGAACACCAACTGGGCACCAGGCAGAGTTCTAGCTAGGTGCCCAGCAGTGAACAAAACACAGTCTAGTGTGCATGTCTGTGCATAATACCCCTGGGTACACATCTTTCTCCCCTTAGGCTGCTGTTTCCCTATTCTATCCTAGGGTACCCCACACAGGGATAGCTTTATGTCGGTAGCTGAGAAAGGGGCAGTGAACTTGAGGGGAAACACTACTGGGAACCCGATAACCGGGAGATTTTATCCCCAACAACCTGGCCTGTGTCTTCTCTCCCTTCCAGAGTCCTCCCTCCATGGAGTTCGGCCTGCTTAGCGAGGCGGAGGCCCGGAGCCCCGCCCTCTCGCTGTCAGATGCGGGCACTCCCCACCCGCCACTCCCAGAGCACGGCTGCAAGGGCCCAGAGCACAGTGGTGAGCGCACCCCCTACTGGGGGTAGGGGAGAGAACAGTTCTGTCCCTCCTGGGGGTGGGATCTGGCAGTGGAAGGCCGGGTGGGAGTGAGGGGTCAGTGGAGGAGGTCCTTGAGCCGCGGAATCCGCGCAGGCCTGGGCACCCTGTGACCTGCCCCCACCTCGGCCCCCAGATTCGGAGAAGGCCTCGGCTTCGCTGCCCGGCGGCTCCCCGGAAGACGGCTCGCTGAAGAAGAAGCAGCGGCGGCAGCGCACCCACTTCACCAGCCAGCAGCTGCAGGAGCTGGAGGCGACCTTCCAGAGGAACCGCTACCCCGACATGAGTACGCGCGAAGAGATCGCGGTGTGGACCAACCTCACCGAGGCCCGCGTGCGGGTACGGCCCTCCCAAACCCGCAACCCTCTCCTGCCCCGCGCCCCCGCCCGCCTTCCTGCTCCGGCCCCGGGCCTTTTTCTCACTGGCCGCTCAGCGAGCTGCCCTGGAGCCAGCAGCCTGCGCTTCCCCCCCGACTGCCTATCCTCGGCCCAACACCCGACGTGCCCCTGCCTCCGTGGGCTGCCCCGCACAGCCTCCGGCCTCTGCTCTGACTCCTTCCACCCTGTCGCTCCAGGCCGCTCGTTCCTTTTCCCCCCGGCACTGTCTCCCGTTCTCTTCTTCACCCCTCCTTGACTCCATCCTACGCGCCCCCCGCCCCGACCCTGTAGCCCCTGACTCAGTCGTGCCGCCCACTCCTGTTCTCAGCCTCCTGACTCGGCGCGCTCCTCCCACCCCCTGGCTGCCCCGCTTCCGTTTTGTTTATCCTTGGCGCGGTCCTGGCCCGAACCCCGGTCTCGGTGACCCCGCCGCCAGCCGCGCGGACCCAGGTCGGCCCCCCGCCCGGCTCCGGCCCTGACAGCCTTTCTCCAACGCCCGCAGGTGTGGTTCAAGAACCGGCGCGCCAAGTGGCGGAAGCGCGAGCGCAGCCAGCAAGCCGAGCTGTGCAAGGGCGGCTTCGCCGCGCCACTAGGGGGGCTGGTGCCGCCCTACGAGGAGGTGTACCCCGGCTACTCGTACGGCAATTGGCCACCCAAGGCGCTCGGCCCGCCACTCGCCGCCAAGACCTTCCCGTTCGCCTTCAACTCAGTCAACGTGGGGCCTCTGGCTTCGCAGCCCGTCTTCTCGCCACCCAGCTCCATCGCCGCCTCCATGGTGCCCTCGGCCGCAGCCGCCCCGGGCACCGTGCCAGGGCCCGGGGCCCTGCAGGGCCTGGGCGGGGGGCCCCCCGGGCTGGCTCCGGCCGCAGTGTCCTCCGGGGCAGTGTCCTGCCCTTACGCCTCGGCCGCTGCAGCCGCAGCTGCAGCCGCCTCCTCCCCCTACGTATATCGGGACCCGTGTAACTCGAGTCTGGCCAGCCTGAGGCTCAAGGCCAAACAGCACGCCTCTTTCAGCTATCCCGCCGTGCCCGGGCCGCCCCCGGCCGCCAACCTCAGTCCGTGTCAGTACGCCGTGGAACGGCCCGTATGAACGGCCCGGTCCGTCGACCATCCCCGAGGGCGGGGGCGAGAATTCACAGCCTCCCCGGACTGGGGTCGTCTTGACTGGCTTGCCCCTATCCCGGGGTCTGAGAGGGGTGCTGGGACAGCTCGGGGAGGGCGGAGGGGTGGGCGGCCAGCTCAGGAGAGAGCCTCCCCGCTGCCGGCCCTGAGGGATGGACTGGGCCCTACACACCCTACACACAGTCCACGCCCCTGGGACTAAGGCCAGGAACAGGGACCAGTTCCCCGGGGGCCAAGTGACCCTTGGCCCACCCCGCCTTCTCCAGACTCCCCTCCCCCATTTTCAAAGATAAATGAAATAAACGTGCGCGGACTGCCAAAGGCCTGATGATTCAGAGTTGCGGTTGAGCCCCCTCCCCTCAGGCTACCCCATGTTTAAAGGAGAGCTGGGTGTACAGGACAGAAGTGAGGGCCTGGGATTCTAGGGTTTCAGTCCCCTCTCAGCTCCCAACACCCGGATGGGGCAGCTGGGGGATTCCTGGAGCGGGGGGCGGGGGGGGCACCTGCGAGCGAGTATGTAGGTGTGGCTTAGGGACTAGCTACTTCGCAAGCGTTGGCCAAAGCTGGTGCTGCGGCGCCACCTCGTGGTCTTATGCAGGATAACTGGAAGTTCTGGTCTGGAACGCTTGCTTGCAGGTGTCAATTTTGCAACTTAGGAAGCCTATGACCTTAGATAAGTTACACCGCCTTTCTGCACCTGTTTCTCACTGTTCCTATGAGGGGCTTGGGTCTCTAATAGCAATAAAATTCTGGTCTGTAACAGACATTTATTAAGTGCCTACCAGGCCTAGAATTCTTATTGAGTGTGTGTGTGTGTGTGTGTGTGTGTGTGTGTGCCTCTCATCACACCTTAGGCTTCTCACTCAGTGATCATCCTGCTGCCAGCAGCCCTCTCCCATCACAGCAGTCCTCTTCCCCCAAATCTCAAAACCCCAAAAAAAGACTTGTTGAAATCTTTAATTTAAAAATGGAGTAAGAAAATTTCTGGATAGAAATATAAATTCAGCTCTGGAAATCCTTCTCAGTTCTACCCCCATCCCAGGGCTTGCTTGGCCTTCACATTAAAAACAGAAACATCAAAGTACTAGATTACACCCCACCCACGGCTGACACAACTTCCTGCCACCTTGGGGCACAGATCCCATGGGAAAAACCATGCAGGGAAGGCATCTTAATTATTCTCCCAAACCTAAGCTCAACCCTTTGGTGCCTTGGCAGGGAGAGAGCCTGGGGCTCCTTTTTCTCCAACCCTTCACTGACTCTTGGTCTTGGCTTTGACTTTGGGCACTATGTAGCTTTGGTGGAAGAAATGGACAAAGAGGATGAAATAGGTCATATACAAGACAAGGGACCAGAAGAAGTGTTCCATTGTGGTGTGGCATCCCTGTTCCTGTCTCCAGATGTAAGTTAGGAAGCCAACAATGGTTCCCATAAACATCTGCAGGATCTGCAGGCTGGTGATGAGCATGGGTAACCACTTGGGGGACTTGACTTTGGCAGCCCTCAGAGTGTAGTAGATGTACATGATGGCATGCACACCAAAGTTCATGGTCATGAACCAGCCGCCTGCAGGCACCTTGTTCTTGTATCCAAAGCTCGCATACACTAGCACTGTGCTGTGGTGGTACCAGTGCACAAAGATGAGCGGCCGCTTGCGCAGGATGATGAAGGCCGTGTCTCCTGGGAGATGGGGGTCATAGCTGGCACACCACCCAGTGTTGGCACCACCCTCCAGGATGAACAGAGGGACATAGGGGGAATTCTCAGGGCATGGAGAAGGGCCTTTGTGGCAAATAATTTAAAGAGGGGCTTGGGTAAGAGGTGTTAGGACCCAGGGGTGGGGAAGGGACTCTCCATGTGATGGGGGAGGTGGGGGGGGTTCCTGAGGAGGGATGCCATTGACTGGGCACCAGAGAGACAAAGACTTGCCACTCACCAAGTTCAATGATCTTGCTGAGAACAAAGAGGCAGGACCAGAATCTGATTATGGGAGTGCTGATGAAGATGGAGAAGCACACAGTTTGCTTTAGGTCCCCCTTAAGTAGCAGGGTAGCCATATGGCCCCATGTCCTCAGTGCCCCCAGGATACTGAAATGGGATAGAGGAAAAGGGTGTAAGGTCATCCCCAGGCACCAATTCACCCTTCCCCCGTGGCCTGGCAGGTCACTGTCCCAAGCTCCACCACTTCCCCCTTCCAGCAGAATGGGTCACAGCTTCTGAGATCCTGGGGCCAGGATCCAACCTGTAATCTAGAGGAGATTAGGGCTGGGGAAGGACCAGGGAATGCTGGAGGATGGGACTGAAAACTGAGTTAGGGACTAGGGTTCTTGGGATGGGTAGGAACGTGGGAGGGGATGGGCAACGGGATTGGGAAGATGGAAGGAGTTTGGGGAATGAAATCTGGGAAGGAGGGGCTACAGAAGTTATTGGAAGGTCTTGGGAGAGGGTGTTTTGTTTTGTTTTGTTTTGGGGGGGGAGAGGGTGTTAGATTCTGAGAGCATTAGAGGCTGGAGAAAATTGTTAAAAGTACACAGACTCCATAAGCACAAGAGGACTCATGAGAGAGAGCAGAGGCTGCTTGTATGGGGCCTGGGGAAGAAAGTAAACAGGGTAATGTGGGAGGAGGATGGAAGCTGGGGAGGGAGCTGGAGCTGAGGGAATGGGCTAGGGAAAGAGTTAGAGGGCAACTTGGGGCATTGACTCACTTGGGGTTTCCAGAAAGGTTTTAGGGATAGAATGAGGGTCTAGGGTCTACAGGATAGGCAGGGAGTGGAGATTGGGGGGAGAGGGGTCTTACCTGAAGAGTGCAAGGGAGAAGGACCAAAGGATTAGAGGCGCCTGCAGGTTGAAGCCCTTCCGTGCCTTCATGTAGTTCTGCCCCACAAAGATGAGTAGCAGGTAGACCAGAGCTATGAGGAATGAGGTTGCCCTGGCAGGCAGAAGGCAGAGGGGATGGGCTTATGGGTAGGTGCTGGTTACAGGAATGCCCACTGGTCTCTCAAGGTGAGTGCTCTGGGTTGGAGTCCCAGCTCTGCCACTTACTAGCTGTGTGACATTGGGAAAAAACTACTTAGTTCTCTGAGCCTCAGTTTCTTTATTATAAAGGAGAAATAACACTCCTCGCCTGACAGTGTTAAGGTATATAAAGTACCTAGTGCAGGACAGGGGCTGTGTTCAAGGTTTCTGTGATTATTGCTCTCAGTGGAATTTTGAGTGGGTGACAGCTGCTGTGTCCATGCCTAGAACCAACCCAGAGGTCTGGTATAAGAAGAATGTGGCAATAGTTTCTGCCTGGTTGGGTTATGGTAAATTGGCTGGAGCACAAAGTCAGCCCACAAACACCTCTGAGGAGCTTTAGGGCAAGATCAAAGAGCCTGGGGAAATCTTGAAAGAGCTCCCTGTGTCTCCTTCTCCACAGCGGGGACAATGGAGCATTTGGGGAATAGCGTGATAAATGTAAAGGCAGACTGTCCCTGGGACCAGCACTATGCCTGCACGCCTGCACACACGGCCACAAAGGACAGAGGAGAGTCGTCTATAAGGTGGGTGGGAGTAGGAGTTCAGGTCAACCCCTTCCTCAGAGATCATTTCTCACTACACTCTTTCCCCTGGGTTTCTGTCTCCTACTTTCCTCAACCCATTTTCTTCCTTTCTCCCTCCCTTCCACCCTGTCTCTTTCTTTTTCTCTTTCTCTCTCATTCTTTCTTTCTTTCCTCCGGGTCTAATCTCTGAGATGCCACGCTAACTGCACCTTGGACAACAGGGATATGGAGTCAGTACAGAGGAGCCCGATACCTTTGCTCTTTAAGAAAATCATTGCAGGCATCCAGTGTCTCCTCCCCCCGCCCCCCCCCATAGCAGTCATCAAGGTCAGGACCCTGGCACGGCCCTTCGCCTTCCCCAGGTCTCACCAGTACTCCTCCAAAAGGGGCCTCATGTCCTGGAACAGCTCGAAGTTGTAAGGCTGCAATATCTGCTCTATTTCGTCCGAGGCATTCATGGCTGTGACCATTTCGTTCTGCAGACGTCGAGGTCCGGAGCTTGAGAAGCTGGGCAAGAGGTTGGGGCACCGAGGATGGAGCGAACTTTGGGGCAGGACGAAACGCACGCGGAACTCCCAGGCAAAGAACTCCGCGGCAAGCGAGGAGCGTCAGATTCCGGCACGTGCGCCACAGTCGGACGACTTCCACCGCCGCCGCCGCTGCGGTATATGAAGCTGAATTGCAGAGCTGCGGGCCGGGGCGGCGCGCGGCCCCTCCCAGCTCCAGACCGTTATCCAATCTCGACCAAGATACGCCCCTGTCCTGCCCCTGGGCCGCAACCCGCCCTCTGATTGGTCATCCTCCAGGGCACCTCCCCCAGGTGCTTCTCACACCCCAACCCAAATGCCAGTGGTAGGATCCCACCACACCCACTTTCCCATCCTTTTCTCCCACACCTCCATTCCCGCCCACCTGCTTGGCTAAGCCCCTGTACTGCCAACCATAGCCTTTGGCTGAGTGCGCTTTAATCCTGACCTACCTGGCAGTGAGGAGAGAGTGGAGGCGTCCTCAGCCTCTGATGCCTGCATTCAGAAATTCGGGTGTCAGTTTCTCGTCTCCCTGAGACCCTGGGAAACCCAGACCCCGGATGCAGACGAATCCCCCATAGTCCCATCTGCCCTCTTCAGGTCTGTGGTTGCGGGTGGGAAGGAGACTACTTTTAATATATTTTTTATATTTTTAAAGATTTTATTTATTGGGGCGCCTGGGTGGCTCAGTCGTTAAGCGTCTGCCTTCGGCTCGGGTAATGATCCCAGGGTCCTGGGATTGAGCCCCACATCGGGCTCCCTGCTCAGGGGGAAGCCTGCTTCTCCCTCTCCAACTCCCCCTGCTTGTGTTCCCTCTCTTGCTGTGTCTGTCAAATAAATAAAATCTTAAAAAAAAAAAACTGAGAGAGAGAGAGTGGGGAGGAGCAGCGGGAGAGAGAGAGAAGCTGATGCCCTCCTAAGCAGGGAGCCTGATGCGGGGCTCCATCCCAGGACCCGGAGATCATGACCTTAGTTGAAGGCAGACGCTTAACCAACTGAGCCACCCAGGTGCCCTGAATTTTAAAAATTTTATTGTCAAGGTTGTTGATGTTGATGTTTGGGGAGATGGTAGTTGAGGCTGTTGTGGATTCTTTACAGTTTCCTGAATTCTTGAACTGCTCCAGCTTGAAACTCAGTAATAACCTTGGAGAGGAATTACGGTCACCCTCTGGGCTTCTGGGATTATTGTCTTCAGGTTTTCTGGAGGCCTTCTAGGGTTTATAGAAGGGGAGATGCAGTGCATCTCCCCAGTATCTTACTATTCTCTCCCAGAGTTTGTGCTTGTCTAATTAAATCTATTTTTTCCTTGCCTAGGCACCCAGCCCCAAAGAAATAAATATTTTAAAGCTTTTAAGGCCTTGTCTGTCCCTAATGTCTCTCCTAGGCTTTATGAAAGTGAGGGAGAAATACAAGACTTGAAGGCAGTTTGAAATAAGATGGAGATTTGCAAAACAAGGGCCAAGAGATGTAAATATAGATATTTAAAATCGGGACATGGTTATAAAAGTCTATGTGCAGTAAACCGCACAGGCTCCAGAGCCTGAGGCCCCAGGCAGGAATCCCAGCTCTACTTCTTTGAACCGCAGCCACTGTCCTGCCCATGCTTCCTTCCTTTCTTTCTTTCTTTTTTTAAAGATTTTATTTATCTATTTGACAGAGAGAGACACAGCGAGAGAGGGAACACAAGCAGGGGGAGTGGGAGAGGGAGAAGCAGGCTTCCCGCGGAGCAGAGAGCCCCATGTGGGGCTCGATCCCAGGACCCTTGGATTATGACCTGAAGGCAGACGCTTAACGACTGAGCCACCCAGGCACCCCCTGCCCATGCTTTCTAATGATCCTCAAGTGTATCACTTTGTCCCTGTACTTCATGACTTCTCACCTGGTTGGCTCTCACCACAGCCCCTACCTTAGTCATGTTAACTGTTTGCACCACCTCCTTCTCTAATACAGTGCTTCTCTCTCTTCATTGCATTAGAATTGGAAAGGAATTCCCAAACCTGGCTGATGGTGACATTCCTGAGCCCCAATCCTAGAGATTCAGACCCAGTAGGTGGTCCCAGACCATATTTTGGAAACCATCATTGCCCTCTCATCTAAAACCTAAATTGGAGGGGCACCTGGGTGGCTTAGTTGGTTAAGCATCTGCCTTTGGCTCAGGTCATGATCCCAGGGTCCTGGCCTGGAATCCAGCCCTGTGTAGGGCTTCCCTGCTCAGCGGGGAGCCTGCTTCTCCCTTTCTCTTTGACCCTCCCCCTGCTCATGCTCTCCTCATGCTCTCTAATAAATAAATAAAATCTTTATTTTTTTTAATTTTTTAAAAATATTTTATTTATTTATTTGACAGAGAGAGACAGCGAGAGAGGGAACACAAGCAGAGGGAGTGGGAGAGGGAGAAGCAGGCTCCCCGCTGAGCAGGGAGCCTGATGTGGGGCTCGATCCCAGGACGCTGGGACCATGACCTGAGCCAAAGGCAGACACCTAATGACTGAGCCACCCAGGCGCCCCAATAAATAAAATCTTTAAAAAAAAATCTAAATTGGATCATGCTGCTTTCCTGCTTCAAACCCTTCTGTGGCTCTTGACTGCTCCCTATGTAGGCTGACACTCAGAAGATGATCAGTGCATATTTGATGAATGAATGAATAGATGGAAGAATGAATACTACAAGAATAACAATCTAGGTGTTACAAGACCTGGATTCAAATCCCAGCTTCACCATTAACTAGTCATATGGTTTTAGGCAAGTTATCGAGTCTTTGAGACTTGAATTTTTCATCAGTAAAATATAGACAGTCATACTTGCCTGCTTACCTCACAAGGTTGGGGGTCAGTATACAAATCATATAATGTCAAGGAGAGGATATTGTGGATTAGACAGACACATGGAAATAGGGTGAATCATTTTGGAAGGTTTACAAATGCATATAGCATAAGCATACGTGGTCCTGAGCTGCTCTCAAAAGAGGGTATTTTACATTGTCTTTCCCTGTGAAGTTTAAAGATTTTACTTTATTTTTTAAAGGTTTTTTGGAAGAAGTGGTATTTATTTTTTTTTAAGATTTTATTTATTTATTTGAGAGAAAGCACGCAGGAGCGGGGGGAGGGCAGAGGGAGAAAGAGAAGCAGACCCCCCACTGAGCAGGGAACCCCAATGCAGGCTCCATCCCAGGACCCCAGGATCATGACCTGAGCCGAAGGCAGACACTTAACTGACTGAGCCATTCAGGTGCCCTGCCCTGTTTTTTTTTTTTTTTAAGATTTATTTATTTATTTGAGAGAGAGAGCATGCCCACATGTGCACATACAAGCAGGGGCAGGGGGAGGGGCCGAAGGAGAGAGAAAGAATCTCAAGCAAACTCCCCTCTGAGCACGGAGCCAGATAGGGAGCTCGATCCCAGGACCCTGAGATCATGATCTGAGCCGAAATCAAGAGACTGACTTTTAACTGACTGAGCCACCCAGGCACCCCTAAAGATTTTATTTTTAAGTAATCTTTACACCCAGTGTGGTACTTGAACTCACAACCCTAAGATCAAGAGTCACATGCTCTACTGACTGAGCCAGCCAGGCGCCCCTTATGATTTCTTGATGAATGCCTGTTTACCCCACTAGTCCTTGAGCTCCATAAATGCAGGGAATATGTCTTTTTTGCTCAACATCATTTTCCTAACCCTGGGCACATACTAGGTACTCAGATAATATTTGCTGCATGACTGATTGGATGGGTGAAATCCTCAGCTTATAAATCTGGGTGACACTCTTTGTTTCTCCAGGATAAACACACACCCCAAGCTTGTCTGGTCTTTTGGCTCTTGGCCTCAGCTTTCTCATCTGTAAAATGGGGATAATATCTACCTTAGAAGGATGTTTATGAGGATCAAATGAGATCATATATGTTAAAGAGCGTTATACAATGTAAAGTGTTAAGCAGCCATCAGTAATTATTACCAAAAAAGTTAAATTTGTACAAATTTCAATTTTTTTATTTTTTATTTTTTTATTTATTTTATTTTTTTATTTTCTTTAAAGATTTTATTTATTTATTTGAGAGAGAGAGAATGAGAGAAAGGATGCACGAGAGGGAGGAGGGTCAGAGGGAGAAGCAGACTCCCTGCCAAGCAGGGAGCCCGATGCGGGACTCGATCCCGGGACTCCAGGATCATGACCTGAGCCGAAGGCAGTCACTTAACCAACTGAGTCACCCAGGCGCCCTCTTTTTATTTTTTTTAAAGATTTTATTTATTTACTTGACAGAGAGAAAGCACAGAGGGAGAGTGAGAGGGAGAAGCAGACTCCCCACTGAGTAGGGAGCCCAATGCAGGGCTCGATCCCAGTACCCTGGGATCATGACCTGAGCTGAAGGCAGACGCTCAGCCAGCTGAGCTACCCAGGTGTCCCTCAATTTCTTTTTAATAAAACTGAACTAAATTAACTTAAAAGAAAGTCACCATCTCGTGACTGGTTGCACAACAATGTGAAATGTACTTAACAATAGTGAATTACACACTTAAAAATAGTTAAGGTGGTACATTTTATGTTACATATATCTTAACGCAATTTTTAAAAAATTTAAAGGAAGGCTATAAAATGGGAACAGTTTTAAGATAAAGAGTTAATGTGCATACTACCTAAAAAGCTTACCCTTAGTCCTATCTATGACCCTTGATAAATGGGTAAAACATAGATATGCTCATCTTATAGACTCCAGTGTCTCCAGATCCATCTGTCATTAGCTTCCAGAAATATCTTCCTAAAACACAAGTTAGTTCATGCCATTCCTCTTTAAGAACAACAAAAAAATTCTCAGGGCAAAGGTCAGAATCCTGAGATTAGCCCTGACTCTTCCTTTCCAGCCAATGTTCCATCATCCCTTTGCGTCCCAGTGTTTCACATTTTAGCTTTAGAAAGTCACAACTCCATTAACTAATACTATATTTCATGTTTTTCAACCCCTTTACTTCTCTCCACATTGTTTTATCTCTCCAGACATCTTCTCATCTGGACAAATCTTACTCTTTGTTTGGCCTTAGCTCTAAAGCACTTGACCTGCAAAAGCCTAACCTGCTTCAAACAGAGTCAAACCCTTCCTTCTCTGTCTTCCACCCACAGGACTTTGCC